CGCGACATGGATTTTAGGCCATATCGCCCAGCCCTAACTTATACTAACTTAATGTAACTGCAACAATACTAGGCTACTCTGCAACTATCCTAACACTTCAGTATCAGTCTTGTCACACTACGATTTGAATGATCTGCTACGGTGTCAGTGTTTTAAAGCAACTTTTATTAAAGGAGTTTAAGTAATTGAGTTGACTGTTTTTGTTCTGGTATTAAACCCTCTGTTGGGAATCATTTAATTCTACAGGTGTTGGTACATCACTGGTCAAACTGATAACTCAGTACTTCACCTTTCAGTCTAACTATGGTTACTTGAGGCTCCAAAAATTCAACAGGCCAGTAACTAAAGGGTTGTGTGCGACCTGAGTGACAGCATGGTGACTACGTTTATCACACTAACAATTAAAAAAACAACAACAGCAACCCAAAAACATAATTTAAAAGTGCGGTAAACAAAATGCAGCATTATGATGATTTCTGTCTCAAAATGAAGTTTAAGGACAAATAAGGAATTTATCCTGATTTGCATAAATCAGGTATCTGGAGCATTAATATGAATCCTATCTTCCCTCAAAAAGCTGGATCAGATATTGGTGACAATGAGCCAATTCAGGGCTGAACACACCATACATGAGCAGAATACCCTCGCAAAACATGGAGAATGTTAACAAACAACGTGACATTGTTAGACATGTCTTTATCATTATTAAAAATAGTGGCTACTATCTTTCTATCTGTGATTTAAAGTGGAGAAGGTTTGATTGGTGCATCCCTAATCTGAAAAAGCACATATGACATGTGCAAGTCTCACCTTTGTAATGGTGTCGTCATCCACAGCGTCAGTGCCGATCTCTTTGTTAACGTACAGCAAAGCATACAGGTATCCAGCACGACCATACAGCAGCTCATCTGGTATATCAGAGTCTGAGCTCAGCACAGACCGCTGAAGCTGAAGAAGCCTGATGGAGAAACACAACAATCACTGACAAGCATGAGGCTGGGGTACGGATCAAGCACAGATTTGTTTTCCACCTGAGCCATGGGGGATAATATTCGTTCACTATCCTGACCGCAAATACTGCAGCTCCTCACAACACCAGCAAATGTGGATTAATACACTGGTTGAGGAAGTTTAAAAACCCCGTATTATCCTTACTGACACGCTCATTATTTTATCTTGGTGGTCTTCTAGTATCCATGATATCGGATTTTACCTCAGGATTACAATTTCCACATAGCTGTCCAATGTGAGCATACGATCAAAGATGAAATATCTTAAGTGCCTTCTTGGAGGTTTTTCATGCCATGACTAAGACTGTGGGGGGAGGCTCAGCTGGCGGCTCTCAGCTTGCCTGCGATGGGACGGGACCATTTTGTGGTTGTCCGGCATATAATTATAGATCGGATGAAGCTCGCCTTGGAGGACCACCATCAAAGCTTCACAGGGGATCGGATGACTAGCCGTTCGCCTATGCCAGGCAGTGACACGGTGTCCAGGTGGCTGTGGCCCAGCCCTGA